GGTGATTTCAGATTGGGTTTCAAAACTAGTAGGTCGACCCATAGTGGATCAACAGGAAGAGTTGGAAAATTTGGGAACAGCGAAGAAACACAATGTCTTATTTGGAAATAGAGAAACAGATGAGAAGTAGGTAGGTTAAATTTTGAGGACAACTCTGTAAAACTAAGAAATAGACCATCTTTGTAGAGATCTCTCATTGTACAGATGCCTCTCTCATGCCAAACTCTGTAGCCGACATTAGTGGTCGCAGGAGAAAATATAGGATTTTTTAATAACGGCATTTTATTAGAGGGAGACATAAATTTAAAATGGGACCTAAATTGTGACCAGATCTTCAGCGTAGAGAGCACTATAGGATTTGTAGAAACAGAGGGAAGTTTAATTGGTAATGATGAAAAGATAATTGAGGCAGGTGAAAAAGATGTAGATATCGATTGAATTTCTAGTTTACACCAGAACAGATTGGGTGAATTTAGCCAATAAATCTATTTATGAATATGTGAAGACCAGTAATACATTGCAAAATTGGGTAAGGAAATAGGGAAAGCCTCAATCTGGGGGCCTTATTGTTCCATAAAAATGAAGAAACCATCTGATCCAGGGACTGTTTGGGCAAGAATAAAGGGATACATTGAAATAAAAAAATAAAATCTAGGTAGAACATTAATTTTAATAACATTAATTCTGCCAATTAGCGAAAGAGGGAGAGAGTTCCATATCCGGAGATGCGATTTGAGAGACTAGGGGGGCAAAATTCAGAGAAAACATTGAGGGCAGAGTACGAGTAATATTAATTCCCAAGTACCTTAACCCTGAAGGGCTGAGTCTAAAAGGAATGTCAGATTGCCCAAGTTCCAAAGCCAATGAATTTACTGGGTAGCATTCACTTTTAAGCAAATTAATTTTGTAGCCAGAGAAAGATCCAAACTTTTCAAGAAAATCCAAAATTGGAGGAAGACTGTGTAAGGGATTCGAAACATATAAGAGAAGGTCGTCTGCATATAAGGAGAGTTTAAGTTCAACACCAGAGCGAATAATTCCATGAAAAGAAGAGAGGGATCTTAGTGCAACAGAAAGAGGTTCAATGGCTAACGCAAACAAAAGAGGAGAAAGAGGACAACCTTGTCTAGTGCCACGTCCCAACGGAAAATGATCAGATTGGACGGAGTTAGTGACAATACAAGCTTGAGGAGATGAATAAAGTAGTTTGATCCTGGCCAAAAACCTCCCACCAAAGCCAAACCTATCAAGAACGGCAAACAGGTACTCCCATTCCACTCGGTCAAAGGCTTTCTCGGCGTCAAGAGAAATGATCACCTCCGGAGACGTGGGGGAATGAACTGAAAAAATTGTATTCAATTATGTACGAATATTAAAGAACAAATGGCGACCTTTGATGAATCCATTCTGCTCATGCGAAATAATCTGAGGAAGCACCTTCTTAAGCCGAGTAGCGAGTATTTTAGCTAAAATCTTAAAATCCACATTTAAGAGCGACAGGGGCCTTTAAGATTCGCAAGCAGTGGGGTCTTTATCCTTCTTCAACAGGAGAGAGATTGAAGCCTGAGCCAAGGTGGGGGGCAACAGGCCACGCCCCAACGACTCATTATAGACCTCGAGAAGAAGAGGGGCCATCTTGTCTTT